CATCTGGAGGATCCCACTCTTTATTCCTACCCTGGCTAATAAGCCCATTCATGTGGATTGCTCTGAAAACCAGAAAGCCCTTGGGGAAGTTTATTTGTTTAGTTGGGATAGAAGGTGGGTTGAACCAATAGGGAACACTACTAGCTTTGAAGGATGTGTAGTTCTGTGTTAATCAGAACTAATGTCCACAGTGTAGGATATTTAACATCCAGTGATGTCACCTCATCATGACAACCCCCAAAACCCTTACACATTTCCAAATGCCCCCTAGGAAAGTGAGTATTACCCCCACCGAGAACTACTACGCTAGACCAATGTGTCAAGGGTACAAGATCAGCTTCTGCCCAGGATTTTATAAGTTAAAAAGAAGCAAAGGCTGCCAATATCAGGCATGTTTTCAATTTTAGAAACTGGTGAGCAGGAACCCCCAGTTCATGTGGTAGGTCAGCCAGGCCCCCAGAAATAATGCATCTTCAGCACATAGACATATCATAAACACATGGCACCCATGCACTTGATTCCACACGGGACTCTTTATATAACCAACAAATGTTAAAGAGTTTTCATCCTATGGAAGTAGAGAAATCACTTAAATTGAAAATAAAAGTCATTTCTCACTAGTACCAACCTCCTTCTGTTGAATGATTTTGAGACTTAGAATTTGTTGCAGCTATAGGGCAGTCACTTGAAATCAGCAGCCACAAGCTGCTGAAATCCTGAAATTAAATAATGCTATTCAATTCTGGTGACTCAGTGATTTGATTTTATTATCTGAATTTTATGTGGTTTAATGTGTGCCCTTGGAAGTGATATGGTTTGAAAAACTGTCTGTAATAAATCCTTTATTTTTGAACATAAAGCAAGCCATCCATTCTTTATTCAGAGAAAATTAATTTTCTTCCCATCCTCACTAAATAAACATTGGGGAGATAGTTAAAGAATATCAGTTTGGAGGAATATCTAGTAATCTGCCTGCCGTGGAGGCCATCGTGTCCCTCTGGCCAGTGATGTCATTCTTTACCTGCCTCTGCTGCTCATGGGACAGGGGCTTGCACTTCCCCAGGAAACCTTAAACTGTTCAGTGACTGGCATCAGTTTGGGTCCCCGCCTTCACCTTCTCCTCATGAATAGCATCCCATTGTTCAGTGCTCACCTCCCAACAGCCTCATCTCCTTTGCCTATGGGAGCTCCAGCAGCCCTTGGAAGCCTAAAGCACCAGACAGCTATTCTGTGCACAGCCTTGAACTGTTTCTTAATGACATACTGACCTTGTCTCCTACCCAATCCAATCTGGATTGGCTTGTTCAGTGTCCAGGGCCTCCACCGCATCTCCAGTATGCCCAGTGGACAAACCAGGTCTCTGGGAACACAGCCACAGGCTTATTCAGTGACTTTTCCTATCACTTCCTCATTTTACATCTGTTGTCTGGCTTGTGCATTACTTTGAGCAACGGGGTTAGGTGCAAAAACTTCAGATTTGCATGACTATAACCCATACAGGCGAAACACGCAGACTCGTGAGCTTGACTCCCTGGGTTCAACTCTACCTCTTGCAAGCTGTGTGAACTTGGGGAGTTTACAGGGTCTCTCTACCTCCGGGTTAGAGGAGATAATAATGGTACCTGCCTCGTAACGCTGTCATAAGGATGAAAATGGGTGCCTGTCAAAAGACTTGAATGGACGCTTTACCATAGAATATACACAGATGGCAAGAAAAGATGTTCAGCAGCCTCACTTATTAGGAAAATGCAAGTGAAAACCACAAAGAGGTATCACTATACACCTAATAGAATTTTAAAAGTTAAACATACACTTATTTCACCCCTATGTATTTACCACTCAAGAGAAGAAGAAATATATGGCCATAGAAATGCTTGTACGTGAATATTCATGGAAGCTATATGTGTAATAGCCAAACTGGAAACATTCCGTATGCCCATCAATAGATTATTACTCAGCAATAAAATAGATGAACCATTGATGCACATAACCATGAATAAATCTAAAAATAATTGCTTGGCAACGGGAGGAGGGAGGGATGACAGGGCAGAGTTACCGAGGAACATGAGCAGGCTTTGGGGTAATGTTAAGTTCACTATCTTGACTGTGGTGATGGCTTCACATGTGCGTACATGTGTCAAAACTTGTTGAATTGCACACTTTAGATAGATGTGGTTTATTATATGTCAATTATACCTAAATAATGCATTTTTTAAAGTAAGCATTCCTTAAGTATTATCTATTATAAACTTTAGTGTTATACTGAAAAGTGTTTTAGATAAAATTTTTAAAAGAGCATCTCATCCAAAGCAATATTCAATTATTGCATCTATCACCACCATGCCATAACCTTGCTGCATGTTTCATTTTCATTTTCATTTTCAAGGGATTCTCATGAATAAACTTAAATTAAGGAAAATAGTCCAGGCTTTGAGGTCAGAAGACATGAGTTCAGGCGCCCACGTTATCATGTGATGCTTGACCTTGATTTTTCTCTTATATAAAATAGTGTACAGTCACACCCCATGTTTGCTGTAAGAATCAAGTTTAAAAATGGATGTGAGCATGTGCTGAAAACTGTAAAGCAACATGAATATGTAAGTCACTGTGATATATATTATGAGTCATTATGACCAGGGAGGAGAGGCGATTAGCACACTTTTGGAAGACTTGGTGACAGAGAGCCAGCAAGATGAAAATAAACATTCACCAAAAAACAAACAAAAACAAAACAAAAACTCACACAAGAGCAAGGAATAAACCCTGAATCTTCTCAAATCCCTTCCGCTGGTATTTCTACATCAGAATTTCCTGGGACACTCTTAAAAGTACAGATTTCTGGGTCCCACCTTATACTTACTGAGTCAAAATTGCTGGGGGTAGGGAACAGGAATCTGAGTTTTAAGGAAAGCTGCCTGATTGATTCTGATGCAGCCAGTAGCATCAGTCAGTAGATAGTCTTTTGGAAACAACCACCTTGACCTTATCATATCTCAGTGAGAAACATGAGCTACCTTAGGCTCTGTTGCTCAGATTAAACCTGGCTTCATTCTCCAGAAAAGGTAATGCATCTCCAAGAATGGCTGGGGGTGCAGAAAGGTTTGAAACACCTTTCAAATAAGCAGTTAGTACTGAAAGCATGTCTTCTATCATCATTTTCTGTCTTTTCCTGAGCAGCTATGTGCTGTTAGGATTTTTACTGGCCCTGAAATTGTTTTTGGAAATCACCTACCTTGGTAATGCAAATGTATATTGCTTAATTTCTTTCCAACCAGTTATTTCCCTCAAAAAAAAAAAAAACGAAACAAAAAAAACCCCACCTCATTCAGTGTTGCATGCTGGCAGCTTGCCTTAGCGTACCTGAGCCGTGTGGCTTGATGCCAACATGAACTTTATACCTATGTGGGATCATCATTATTTGAAAATCAAAAAGTGAGAAAAGCAGAAGGATTGGTGCAAATCAGCCATTTGTGCTACTTGGGGCAGTTAAAGCAGAGGAAGCAAGACTAGAATCGGATGGAATCTAAACCTGCCTTTGACTTTATTCTTCCATCCACAAGGAGAGAAGATTCCTTTTCTGTGTCTTAAGGGTGTAAAATCCACCTAGAAGTTCTTTCTTGGGAGTCATTTTGAAATTCCCTATCAAAAGATACCATGTGAATATAATCAAGTCTCTTATTGTAAGGCTCTTTATTCTACAAATTGGACCAGATGTTGCAAAGATGCATCTAGGGGCTGGGCAGGGAAATTCATTAAGAGAAGAGCTGGAAACCGGAGGGTGAGTGCCCCCTATGGTTGGGGCAGTTACCAAATGTTGCCAAGTGCGAATGTGGCTTTTCATCCTCTGATCCTCACTTTGTCGATAAGGAAATGGAAGCCCAGGGAGGGGAAATGACTGAGTAACCATGATAATCCCAAAATAAGGCATACTTAAGACCAAAGGCAGTTATCTTCGTATCCATTCTCCTGGCTTTCCACTTTATTATGGGGGGAATTATGAGTTATGCAACCTATAAAGAGTAAGATTGGCTAAAATGGGCACCTACACAGTCATTAGCCTTACTGTGCCCATCACACAGCACTAATCTATTACCGGTTTCTTTCCTCGAGAGCCCAGATGTGCCCTCAGGCCCTTTCTCATCCTGAGGCTCCAGGCAGCCACTAATAATTGATCCATCTTGCTGCCCTATTACTCAACAACTCTAAATCTTTAAATACAAAGCTTGAGAGTATTCTGTCTAATAAGATTTCCCTCCTTGAAACACGGCTCATTTTCTGAGGGTGTTTCCTTGAAGACTTTCAAACTGCTTGCCCTGGTGATTATCTGCAGCAACCAAAGTCGAAAGATTTAAACTTTATATGGAGAAAAATTGCTATGTCAAGGCCTTTGTACCTGATTTGGTGCTGAGACTGAACTGGTGTATTGGTTTGTTCCAGAATCCAGAGGCCACTCCAAGCTTTGAAGCAAAGTGAAACCCTTAGGTGGGCCTTGGTTGCTTGAGGAACCTCTGGATGGGGGATCATTGGTTTTGCTCTGCACAGGACAGTCCTTCCCCAGGCTAAGAACTGTTTTATGAGAACAGTGGACTGAGGTATATACTGTGTTCAGTCCTTTGTTTGGGGCAACAGGTGGGGAGGACTTTATTTGCTATGTCATATTTCTTTTGGTAATCATTTATCCATAAAAATAAAGAGCAAATGAGCACCTCCAGGTCATTGATGATACCAATATTTTTCCTGCAGTTATCTCTTGCTCAGTGACACTAAGCCCAATGAAAAAGAACACAAGGGCTGAATTTACTGTGAACACAAGTAGCAAAAGTGACTGGCATCTAGGATAGTGACAGAGCTGGGACTTGACTTTTGCAAAGGTCTCCCGGGCTTGCTGGAGAGCACTTATGGTTTGCAAGAAGGTGAAGCACCGTCAAGTTAATTTGCCTAAAGGTTAACAATTAAAAGCCCTAATCCCCAGTGGGTTTTCTCTTTCTCTGTCTTTGCAGGTTGACAGAACGGAGGTGATTCGCACCTGCATAAACCCGGTGTATTCGAAACTGTTTACTGTGGACTTTTACTTTGAAGAGGTGCAGCGCCTGCGGTTTGAGGTCCACGACATCAGCAGCAACCACAACGGGCTGAAGGAGGCTGACTTCCTCGGGGGCATGGAGTGCACCCTTGGCCAGGTGGGTCAGGAGACGGCCTTCCTCCCTCTTGCCTTCTTAAGGTCTTTCTTCTCCCCATTTTCTCTCTCCTCTCAGTCAGTCCATGCTTTCTTTCTCTTGATTTTCTTTTCTTTTACATTTACTACTTTATGACTTCCTATGCACTGTCGCATCCATTGTATTTACCTAGGGATGTTGCTGAAAATATGTGAAGTTACTTATTTTGCAAAATTAATCACTTTTTTCCTTCTGAATTCCTTCATTTATCTCACAGTTGTTCACTGAGCACCTACTCTGCTCTGGTTGTGTCTCTGATAGCTGTACCTTGATACAGTATAAATTTCCATCTCCCAACTCATCTCCCACACAAGGAATATTGCTCATTTACATGTATTCCAAGCCTCTTGTGCCCAAAATAGCCCAGGAGAGGGGCTAAATAGATATTTGGTGAATGAATAAATGCTTTCACTTAATCTTCACAACACTGATGTGAAATATATTAACATCATTAGTATATACATCTGTAGGTGAGAAAACCAAGGCTCAGAGAGGTTCAGCGTAAGGCACCGCACTAAAAAGGGGCTGAGCTAGAACTTGAACCAGGTCAGCCTCACTCAAAACCCCATCATGTTGCTTCTATAACATCCTTCCTTTTTCCTTCCCTTTCTGCTGTACCCAGGACTTCAGTAGGTGCTCAGGTGATATCTAAGTGGAGAAATAGTCCCTGTGCCCAAGAAGCGGACACTCTGATTGGAGAAGGCATACTGTATGCATCTCAAATAGAGCAATTTCTGACGCTCCTTAAGCCACAGTGAGACTAAATACCCTGGGCTCTATGCATGGCATTGTGGACCTTCAGGGAAAGGAGAGCTTTCTGCTGGCTAGAATCAAAGAAATCATTGCGGGATCAGCTATTGAAAAAATATGGTCCAGGGATTGGAGAAGAAGGAGGGAGGCCTTTCAAGTAAGAAAGAAAAATAAGCTAGGCAGAGAGGTCAGAACAACCGCGGCGGGGTAAGGGGCAGAGGACACCAGTTTCACTGAACCAAGGCCAGATGCTGATTTACTGTGAAACCACTGAAGCCTAAACTTCAGCGCCCCTTTCTCATGTGGGCTTCTTCCAAGGCTCTGGGTCACATTTTTATTTGTAGTTTTGTACTTTTTTTCTCAAAGAAAGATTCCAAATTATATGAGCCTGTAACTTCACAAAACCAGCACCAGTCCCATGCCGAGGTGAGAGTCTGCCTGGTAGAGAGATGGCACGTATGCCTGTTGGTTGGTTTGAACCTTGCCTCATGCCACTTGTCCCTAAAAAAGAAATGTCTCCGAGGTGAACACTGAGTGGCAAAATAGACACTGTCCTCAGTAAATATAGTGATTACTTTCATAAGATTCTTGCTTGTTCCTTTAATGAAAGGCAAAAGCCTAAAGTGGAAGTACTGCTGAGGGGAGGCAGATAGGTCATAGATATAATCTCTCTGTGACTTTGGGAAAGAATTGATGGCAGATAGTTCTAGGGTCTTGCCAGGTGCAGCACCCAGTAAGTAGGCATTGAATGAATAAATGAGTAAATTAATGAATATGAATTTAAAGTGGACTTCTGTAATATATAAATAAAATTAAAAGGTGATTAAAATGGCATCTTTTAAAGACATAAATGAGCCACTCTACCATTCTCCTTAGGACGGTGGGCATCCCTTATATATAAAAGTCAAATTCTGTCCCAAGAAATAGATGTAGACCCATGTAGGAGTCCTGTGAATAAAAGATCTATTTCATCCAAAGCTTTGATTATTTTGTCTATGTGAATGACCCTCAAACTTACATCTTTAGTCTCTCACAAGCCTCGTCTTTCCAGCAGTCAGTAAGTCCTTGACACTCTACTTTGTGCCAGGCGTTGAGCTAGATGCCAGTGGTATAGTGATGAGCCAAAATCATTGTCCCTGCCCTCCAGCAGCTCACCGTCTAGTTGGGGATAAAGAGAGAAGCAAGTGCTCCAATTCCTGTCTTGCCACAACTGATGCTGAAAAGGAGAGATAAAGGCACTTCCCACAGTCAAAGCTTGTTTCCTCAAAGCTGTGTGCAGGGCCTTGCTCGGTCCATCTGAGTTTGTCACGTTCGTACTCTGCCATGTGAAACAGCAGGCCTCGTGGCCTTTAGGGAAGGAAAATAGCAGCCCTAGGCATGCTAGAAACTGGCATTGGCCATGCGGTTGGTACAGCACATCAAGTGACTTAGCTCAGAGCAATTCTGCCAAAGGAAGGTTCATGTCCTCCCTGAGCACTCAAGGCAGAACCGTGTGTTCTGGGCAGATGGATGAGGGGCCAGATCACAGCGATGCAGGGCGCTTGGAAAGCTGTGTAGCCCTTCTGGGTGAGTGTGGAGACCATCCTTGGATTTCTGTTGGCCAGAAGGAGACCAGGAGCTTAGCCTGCTGCACCCAACAGAGGGCCTATCAAGGAGAGAAATGACCCCACACTATTGAGAACAGCAAGCTGACCTTTGATAAGATGCCTTTATTTATTTTTTTTTTTCACTGCTTACTAACTACTTCATTCATCCCAATATTTTTTCACTCCTTCATGTACTCATATAGCGAACAATGAATCAGAAATGATAAAATAATAAATATAGTAGCTAACTTTCTATGGGCCCTTTTATTTACCAGCCACTGGGCTGGGCACTCACTATACCTCAATGCATTTAATCAGCACAACATCCCTAGGCGGTAGGCGCTACAATGACCCTTATTTACATTTGAGGAAACGGAGACTGAGTAAAGCTAGGTAACTTATTCAACTGTGTCACATCGCTAGTAAGTGGTGGAGCTGGAACTTGAATGCAGATGTGTTTGGCTCTTAAGGCCCTCATAATCTTTTCCATTTACTCTAATAGCTTGTCATTAACTAGTGTAAATTATGATGTTGCATCTACTAATGCAAATTCAAGTTGGATTTGACTTTGCTAGGGTGACTTTTTTTTTTAAGTTTGTCAAACACAAAGCTGACAGAGGCAACATAGGAATCATGCAGAGAAATAGCTTTGGTTATTTTTCCTCAAGGTTTGCATATTGAATTTACTTTAAATATAACATGGCTTCTTAAATATCATTAGTGTGTCAACTTCCCAAAACCAGTAGCTTAAAATGAAGTGCCCACAGGTATCCCTTACTGGCCTTTTCACCCTCAACCATGTTAAGTGAACCAAATTTAGTGGTTGCCCTGGTTTTCATCTTTGTTTTCTTACAGGCATTTCTCTTCTTCAAGGCTTGGAAGACAGTTACAACTGTGCAAAGTCCTCCTCTCTTCATTGCCATCTGACTCTTCTTTAGTGTATTTCCCCCCTAAAGTTCAGAGAACATCTGTTAAAAGAACCAATAATGTCCTGCCTTATGTTCTCATAAGTGGGGCAAGGAAACCTGTGACCACATTGCCTACCACACTGCGTTCAATTTCCACGACCCTTTGCACATTGGAAAAAGTGGAGTAGCAATTCTGCTTAAATGCTATCACTGTAGAACTGCTCACAGAAGTCAAGACAGAAGCAACCTTTTCCCTCGAGTTGATAAATTGACTCCGATATCTAAAAAAAATCTCTCTCCCAGCTCAGGAAGACCCATGACATCCATCTGCAACTAGATACCCCACTGTGAGTGTTTATCTGAAAGACCCCTGACTTCATTCTTTCCTTGGCAGAGACCTATTGCTCACATAGCAGTTAAGGTTTAACAGTCAGATGGAAATAACTGATAGGAATTCATTCATCCACCCAGTCATTCAATGAATGATGCATTTAATGCTAATAGTAATAATGAAAAGCTAATATACACATATTCACTCATTGAAATGCATATCTATAAATTCATTCATTCATGTATTGGGTACTTGCAATATACCAGATACTCTTCAAATAGTGGGGCCTTAGCCATTAGCAAAGTTGGCAAAGCCCTGGTCTCATGGAGCTTGCCTATTCCTACATAATATAAAAACAGATAATAAATAACCTTATGAAGGAAAACCTCCTGGGCTAAGAAAGAGAGTGGTGGGAAGGGGGTGGGTGCTAATTTAGATAGAAATGTCAGGGAAGCCCTTTCTAAGCAGAGACCAGAATAAAGTGTGGGCATTCGTCATGCAGAGACATCCAGAAAAGTGTTCTGGGCAGAGGGCCGAACAACTGCTCTTACACACTGCCAGACTCTATGCTGAAACTTTGCATCAATTACCTCATTTAATTCTCACAAAACCTCTGATAGGAAAGTACCAGTATTCCCTAGTTTTCCTGCTTAAGTGCACATCTTTTTCAAGTGGGGGAGCCATGAGTTAAACCCAGGCCTCCTGACTCCCTCCTGCAAGCTGAGCAATTTTGTGCGTTGGCCAGTCTGCGATACTTGCCAGCATTTTTGATGTAAGATTTAGAGAATGATCACTAGGAAGAAACACTGTAAAGTCTGCATCATCTATCTCATTTGGAGCTTTTGTGTCCTTGGCCTGACGAAATGCTTTACCCTGGGCATTGGGCTGATTGGAGGTGCAGCTCCTTCCTCTTTCTCCTGAATGCCATGTGGTGTGGCTGGGGAGGCGTGGGGATGGAGGTGGGGTGATGATGGCCTCTGATTAATAACTGAGCTACATCATTTATGGTGACGATGAGGCCTTACTCCCATCATCAGAGGCAAAGATGGATAATTAAGACATAGCAGTCCTTAAATCCCTCTCTGAAACTCTCCCTCCCTCCACTTCATCCCTTGCTAATGAAGTCAGAGAAAGGGTAAAAGCCTTTAATTACACTTGAAGTAATTAAAGCCCTGCTTAATAGAAAGCTCAAGACAGGAAGCCCAAACTAGTCGATTACCCATTGCTCCTGTCATTCTGAATCATACTCCCTAGGGTGGTTTTTTTGTAGGTCTCCACTGGGGAGTGAGGACTATACTGAACTCACATAAAATTTATAGACACACACACACTCATGTTGTATGTCCTGTCCCCTGAATGTCTGAGAAAGTTTCCTCATTGTGCCTTTCT